CATTTTGGCCAGGCTGGTAGAATTCCTGAACTCAGGTGATCCACCCATCTCGGGCCCCCACAAAGTGCTCAGATTACAGTCGTGAGCCACTGCACCTGGCCCTCATCTCCAATCCTTAAAAGGACATCAGTGATAGTGGATTACAGCCCGTGGGAATGACCTCATTGTAACTTAATCACCTCTTTAGCCTGTCTCCAAACAGAGTCACATTCTGAGGTACTGGAGGTTAAGATTTCTATGTGTAAATTTTAGGAAAATGCAATTCAGCCAATAACAGGGGAGAGGAGAAATTTTATGTTAGCTAGAGGGGCCCGTGACGTTGGGAGGCATTGCCCCACTTAGAACGAGAAAGACTTGCGGTTGCTGCCAGACATCTCAGGCAAGGCACTGGCAGAAGGAGCTGAGAGAGAAACTGGCTCACACAGCACGGCCTCAGGGAAGCAGGGAGGGAATCAGACCAAGGACGCATGCAGACGGGAAGAGTGGATGTAGAGAAGACATTTGGGCATGGAGAGAGGTTTAGGGGGACTGGTCGGGGAGGAATATTAGGAGAGGCAGAACACTGACAGTATTTATCTTAGTTGTTTGTGCTGCTCCAACAAAATACCAAAGACTGGGCAATTTATTTTATTTTATTTTACTTTAAGCTCCGGGAGGCATGTGCTGAACGTGCAGGTTTGTTACATAGGTGTATATGTGCCATGGTGGTTTGCTGCGTCCATCACCCCCGTCATCTAGGTTTTAAGTCCCGCATGCATTAGGTATTTGTCCTAATGCTCAAGACTGGGTAATTTTTAAAAAATAGAAATTTATTTCTCATTGCTCTATTTGCTGAGAAGTCCAAGGTCAAAGTGTCAGCAGGTTGTATGTCTGGTGAGGGCTGCCCTCTGCTTCCAATATGGTGCCTGCTGCTGCATCCTCCAGAGGTAACAGATCCTGTGTCCTTGTGTGGCAGAAGAGTCAGAAGGGCAAGAGGCGGTCCCCTCACCTTCAAGTCCTTTGATAAAGGCACCAACTAAATTCATGAGGGCAGAGGTCTCATGACTTAATCACCTCCCAAATGCCCCACCTCTTATTGTTGTTGCACTGGGGATTCAGTTTCAACATACGTTTTGGAGGAGACACTATCATCCGAACCACAGCAGTGTTCATGCCTGATTCCCTCCATTTTCATCTCAGAGAAGGCAAGGTTGTTGTTGAAGATGAGGGAATAGAGGCTGAAGTTGAGAATGGATAAGATTCAGGAAATTAGGATTAGAGAAGGAGGTAACCAAACACATCACTAATGGGTTAATGGGCAACAGTGAAAGATCAGCCAAGTTTGGAGACCATCGATTTATGGTGTGAAGTCACATGGCTAAGCACTATCTGGAAAATAGGGTGGAAATATAGCTATACGGGCTAGCAGGGTTTATCTGCCATCATCTCTGTACCTGGGGGTGGATCTTGTTTTGCTGTAGAAGCTGCCATTCTTGAGGAGGGCTCTGACCCTTCATTTTGCGGAGTCTGTTTTCAGAGCAAAGCTCTGATTGAATGGTCTAGTGTCCAGTGTGCTTTAAGGTCCTGTCTCCTCTGTGTGACTGTGTCACCCAGTAGCCAGTTGGCCACTGTTCTAGCTCTGATAGTTGGGGGAAACTGTGCTAGATTATACAAAGAGGCACTCAAATCTGAGCCCCTGAAAAATTGTTATGGATTCCTTATACACATAGAAAAAGAAATTATTCACCACTCAGTGACACTTGTGAAAATCTGCCTAAATAAAAGCCAGCAAAAAAGAAGGACATTAAATTAGTCCACACTACTGGAGAGAGAAGCTGGAGTGTGAAGATGAGCAAGAGAAATCATGTCCTTTTTTGGATACTGCCATGTTCTAGGTAAATGCCCAGGGACTAAAGAATGTAGATCTGTTATAGGAGTTATAATTCCTACTACATTCTCACGTTTACCTATATTGTTTCCTTAAGGAATCTGCAATGCTATGAAGATGGTATTATACCATTAAAGGAAAAAGATTCTGAGTCTGATAGACTTTCCCATGATCAATAGCTGGCAATTGGTGAGCTAATTGTTCCTGACCCCACGCCTACACTCTTCCCCCACACAGGCACACCGTATATTATTGGCACTGCTTTATAGTGCTTTGAAAGTATTGCTTTTTTTTTTTTTAACAAATTGAAGGTTTGTGGCAACCCTGAGTTGACCAAGTCTATCAGCACCATCTTTCCAAAAGCATATGCTCATTTTGTATTTTTGTGTCACAGCTTGGTAATTCTCATAATATTTCAATATTTCATTATTATATATCTGCTATAGTGATCTGTGATCAGTGACCCTTCACGTTACTATTTAATTGTTTTGGAGCACCATGAACCGTGCTCTTATAAGACAGTGAACTTAATCAGTAAATGGTGTATATGTTCTGACTGCTCCACTGACCCGCAGTTCCCCTGTCTCTCTCCCTCTCCTAGAGCTGTCCTATGCCTTGAGTCACAATAATATTGAAATTAGGCCAGTTAATAACCCAATAATGGCCTCTACGTGTTCAAGTGAAGAGTTGCAAGTCTCTCCTTTTAATCAAAAGCAATAAATGATTAAGCTTAGTGAGGAAGCATGTCAAAAGGCAAAATAAGCCAGAAGCTAGGTGTTTGTGCCAAATAGTTAGCCAAGTTGTGAATGCAAAGGAAAACTTTTTGAAGTTAAAAGTGCTACCCAAGTGAACATACAAATGATAAGGAAGAGAAACAGCCTTTTTGTTGATATGAGTGACGTTTGAGTGGTCTGGATAGAAGATCAAACCAGGCACAACATTCCCTTAAGCCAAAGCTTAATCAGACAGAGCAACACTGTGACGCTCTTCAATTCTGTGAAAGCTGAGAGAGGCCAGGAAGCTAAAGAAGAAAAGTTTGAAGCTGGCATATGTTGGCTCATGAAGTTTAAAGAAAGAAGCTGTCACTATAACATAAACACGTAAGGTGAATTCCGAGTGCTGATGGAGAAGCTGTAGTAAGTTATCTGGAAGATCTAGCTAAGACCATTGATGAAGATGATTACACTAAACAACAGATTTTCAATGTAGACAAAACAGCCTTCTATTGGAAGAAGATGCCATTTAGGCCTTTCACAGCTTCAAAGGACAGGCTCACTCTTGTTAGGGGCTCAGGCAGCTGGTGACATGAAGTGGAAGCCAATGCTCATTTACCATTCTGAAAAGCCTAGGACCCTTAAAAATTATGCTAAATTTGGCCGGGTGGGGTGGCTCACACCTGTAATCCCAGCACTTTGGGAGGCCGAGGCAGGTGGATCACGAGGTCAAGAGATCGAGACCATCCTGGTCAACATGGTGAAACCCCGTCTCTACTAAAAATACAAAAAATTAGCTGGGCATGGTGGCGCATGCCTGTAATCCCATCTACTCAGGAGGCTGAGGCAGGAGAATTGCCTGAACCCAGGAAGCGGAGGTTGCAGTGAGCCAAGATCGCGCCATTGCACTCCAACCTATAACAAGAGCGAAACTCTGTCTCAAAAAAAAAAATATGCTAAATTTGTGTGCTCTTATAACGGGTGCTCTATAAGTAGAACAACAGAGCCTAGATGAGAGTGTCTCTGTTTATAGCATGGTTTACTGAACACTTTAAGCCCACTGTTGAGACCTATGGCTCAGAAAAAAAGATTTCTTCTAAAATATTGTTGCTCATTGACAATACACCTAGTCACCCAAGAGCTTTGATAGAGATTTCAAGAAGATGAATGTTGTTTTCATGTCTGCAAACATGACATCTGATTTGGTTTAGCTGTGTCCCCACCCAATTCTCATCTTGAATTGTAGCTCTCATGACTCCCACGTGTTGTGGGAGGGACCTGGTGGGAGATACTTGAATCATGGGGGTGGTTTTCCCCATACTGTTCACGTGGTAGTGAATATGTCTCACAAGATCTGATGATTTTATAAGGGGTTTCCCCTTTCACTTGCCTATCATCATTCTCTCTTGTCTACCGCCATGTAAGATGTGACTTTCACCTTCCACCATGACTGAGGCTTCTTCAGCCAGGTGGAATCGTGAGTCCATTAAGTGTCTCTCCTTTATAAATTACCCAATCTCAGGTATGTCTTTATCAGCAGCATGAAATAGATGAATACAACATTCATTCTGCAGCCTGTGGATCAAAGAGTCATTTTGACTTGCAAGTCTTCTTAGTTAAAAATACATTCCATAAGGCTATATCTGCCATAGACAGTGGTTCCTCTAATGGACCTGGGCAAAGTCCATCGAAAACCTTCTGGAGGACTATTTGTAATCCAAAGGATAAATGCTTGAGGGGATGGATACCCCATTCTCCTTGATGTGCTTATCTCACATTGCATGGCTGTATCAAAACATCTCATGTGCCCCCTAAATATATACACCATGTACCCACAAACATTTAAAAAAGTAATTTAAAAATTAAAAACAAGAAAATCTTCTGGAAAAGAATCGCCATTCTAGATGCCTTGAAGAAATTTTATGATTAATGGGAAAAGGAAAATATCAACATTAACAGGAGTTTAGAGGTTGATTCCAACCTTTGTGGATGACTTTGAGGGGTTCAAGACTTTAGTGGAGGAAGAAACTGCAGATGTGGTAAAAACTGAAAGAGAAATAGAATAAGTGAAGCCTGTAAATGTGACTGAATTGCTGTAATTTCATGATCAAACTTGAAGTTAGGAGGAGTTACTTCTTTTTTTTTTTTTGAGATGGAGTTTCACTCTTGTTACCCAGGCTGGAGAGCAATGGCGTGATCTCGGCTCACCGCAACCTCCACCTCCTGGGTTCAGGCAATTCTCCTGCCTCAGCCTCCTGAGTAGCTGGGATTACAGGCACGCACCACTGTGCCCAGCTAATTTTTTGTATTTTTAGTAGAGATGGGGTTTCACTATGTTGACCAGGATGGTCTCGATATCTTGACCTCGTGATCCACCCGCCTCGGCCTCCCAAAGTGCTGGGATTACAGGCTTGAGCCACCGCGCCCGGCCGAGTTACTTCTTATGAATGAGCCAAGAAAATAGTTTCTTGGGGTGGAATCTACTCTTGGTAAAGATGCTGTGCACACTGTTGAAATGACCACGAGGGATTTAGAATATTACATCAACTTAGTTGATAAAACACTGATAAGCTTCGGGTGGATTTTGACTCCAGCATTTTTTTTGAGATAGAGTCTCCTCTGTTGCCCAGACTGGAGTGCAGTGGCATAATCATGGCTCACTGCAGCCTCAACTTCCTAGGCTAAGGTGATCTTCTCACCTCAGCCTCCCGAGTAGCTGGACTTCAGGCATGTACCACCACGCCTAACTAATGTTTCGTATTTTTAGTAGAGGTGGGGTTTTGCCGTGTTACTTAGACTGGTCTCGAACACCTGGGCTCAAGTAATCCTCCAGTCTCGGCCTCCCAAAGTGCTGTGATTACAGGTGTGAGACACCATACCCAGCCTTGACTTCAAGTTTGAAAAAAATTTTACTGTGGGTAAAATGCTGTCAAACAATATTGCATGCAACAGAGAAACTTTTCATGAAAAGAAAAGTCAGTCGATGTGGCAAACTTCATTGTTGTCTTATTTCAAAAATTGCCACAGCCGGCTGGAGCAGTGACTCATGCCTGTAATGCCAGCAGTTTGGGAAGCCGAGATGAGAGGATTGCTTGAGGCCAGAAGCTTGAGACCAGCCTGGGTAACATAGCAAGATCCTATCTCTACAAAAAATTAAAAATGAAAAAAAAATTATTTTAAAAAGAGACATTGTCACAGCCACCCCTACCTGTAGCAGCCACCACTCTGATCACAGCAGCCATCCACATCAAGGCAAAACCCTCCCTCAGCAAAAAGATTATGACTTGCTGATGGCTCAGATGTCCATTAGCATTTTTTAGCAATAAAGTATTAGGTACTTTTTTTTTTTTTTACATAATGCTATCACACACTTAATAGACTACAGTATAGTGTAAACATAACTTTAATATGCACTGGAAAACAAAACATTCATGTGACTTACTTTATTGTGATATTCATTTGTTGTAGTGGTCTGGAATCAAACCCACAATATGTCTGAGGCATGCCTGTATTACCCAGAGAAAGTTAGACTGAAATGAAACATACTAGGTGAATTACAGTGTAGGTGGCAGAAAAATGTGACGAGTTCTACGTAGCATGTCCACTGCAGTAACCTTCACCACTGGGGGCCAGTCAGATATAATCCATTGCAGGGATGTCTGTCGTGTCCAGGTTTCAGGGAACCTACTTTGAGGATATAAGAATTATGTCTATTCTTTTCTGTTTCTGAAGCCTTATAAGGTCTGATGATCGTGGAGTTAGGTGTAGTATAATATAAGAATTAGAAGCAGTCAGAGAGACTGGGTGCACTGGCTCATACCTGTAATCCCAGCACTTTGGGAGGCCAAGGCGGGTGGATCACCCGAGGTCAGGAGTTGGAGACCAACCTGGCCAACATGGCAAAACCCCGTCTCCACTAAAAATACAAAAATTAGCCAGGCATGGTGGCAGGCACCTGTAATCTCAGCCATTTGGGAGGCTGAGGCAGGAGAATCACTTGAACCCGGGAAGTGGAGATTGCAGTGAGCTGAGATCGCACCACTGCACTCCAGCCTGGGTGACAGAGTAAAACTCTATCTCAAAAAAGAAAAAGCAGTCAGAAAAATGAGCACGTCTATCTTTTCAGTTCTAGAGACCTAACTTTTTTTGAATAGGAAAGGATACGTATGCTAATTATGCCCAAGGATTTGTAATCCTGATTTTAATCCAGCCAAAAGTTAAATGGTGTTTGTTTTACTTTGGTATCACCGCACACTGAAACTCCTCACAGCTTTGCCATAGACCCACTGGGAGGGTTAAAAGAAAGTGTTCTTTCTCTTCCTCCCTGTGCCTCTTATACTACCTCCTTTCTTCAGAAAAACAACCTATCCCACAGAGGTCAGTGGGAAAGAGGAGGTATGCTCTCTTCTAAATGGCTGGGTCTTTGAATGTAGTCAGGACATTTCAAATCATAGTTTGCATAAAAGATTCCCCTTGCCACAGCCAAAACAGATGTTCTCTGCTTCTCATTATGACATATAATCTTTAAAAGAAAAACAGAACTTGAAACTTATACCCACCATCTCTTTCAAGTTGTCCCTGGTTCCTCTCTTCTTTTCAGGATTGAAATTGCCTTCCCTCTTTTCAGGATTGAAATTGCCTTCCCTCCCAGTCATTTCAGGTAGTTGGATGTGCTTTGCTCTCTCTTCCTAATATGGGACAGTGATCAGGCCTGATGAATTTCTCCCAACTCTCCCACTGACTTACTATGCCCCTCACCCTTATCCGCTGGCACTGGCTGGGAAAAAATTACATGCAGCCTGGCATAGTGGTACATGCCTGCAGTCCCAGCTGCTCAGAAGGCTATGGCAAGGAGTTGAGGGCTGTAGTACCCCTTGATCATGCCTGTGAGTAGCCACTGCCCTCCAGCCTAGGACAGCATAGTGAGACCCCATCCATAAATAAATAAACAAATAAATAGAAATAAATAAACACTCAGTGGATAAATGGAATGTAGTATATACATACAATAAAATAGTATTCCGCTTTGAAAAACAAGGAAATTCTGCCATATGCAACAACATGGATGAGCCTGGAGGACTATATGCTGAGTGGAATAAGCCAGTCACTGGAGAATAAATACTGAATGATTCTGCTTCTATGAGGTATCTAAAATAGTCAAACTCACAGAAACAGAGAGTGGGACGATGGGTGCCAGGGTCTGGGAGGAGAAGGAGATGGGAATTACTGTTCAGTGGATCTAAAGTCATGCAAGGTGAATAAGTTCTCGAGATCTGCTGAACAGCACTGCACCACCATGAACAAAACTGTATTGTGCACTTAAATATTTGTTAAGAGGGTAAATTTCATGTTAAGTGTTCTTACTACAGTAAAGGAAAAAAAGAAAGAAATCACACTCAGATAGCTTCCAATTAAGTAGATTCAGACACAATTTTCAGTGAGTGTAGAGAGAAGAGAGCCCAACTAGACTGTGGTCAGAAGATAGGGACTGGCCACTGCAGGTGTTGTCCCTGGGGAAGAGACTTTGTAGTTTGAGCACAAGTTTTCTCAAATGAAGTTATCTGCTCTGACTCATAGGGTCCTGCGAGGATCTAATTAGATGCCTGTTTGTGAGTTTTGAAATACAAAGTGATGATAATTTAAGTAAACACATATTCACAAAGGCCTCCTAAAAGATCTTCCTGACTTTATGTGATTCACTAACCCAGGCCTGTCCTCTCTACTTTGGATCTTCTTAAGTAGTTATTGCGGAGTGAGGGGTTTTAAGAATTGTAAGTGGGGGAGTTTATAGAGTGCTTACTTCTTAAATAGGAGGAATTCCATTCAACTGCATTTTCTGTTTTGTTTTGTACTTCCACTGAAAGACAGATTAACAGAGGAGCTGGGGAAGGAAAGGAAAGGAAGGAGTCTATAAGCCTCACCATCAGGTGCCTATACAGTGTCTGGGGAAACTAGATCTACTCATAAAAAGAACTGCCCAGCAATACAAGGCTTATTATCTGATTGTTTCACAAATAGATGATATGAGTCATGGTTAAATGGCTTGCCTGAGTGATACGGCAGAGATAATTATTCTGCAAGATGCACTTGAATGTGCCCTATGGGAGATGGGTGGCTAAAACTGTTAACCACATCTGGGATGAACAGTCTGGAAAGAAAGCATGGACCAGAATGTGAAAGAGATCAACTCAACACCTGGAGAGCCTTAAAACCCCATTTCTAACTTTCAGAGAAAATCTGCTGCTGTTGGCTATGAAGTCTCAACTGTGTTAGTGGGATTTCCCCAATCTGACACTCAAAAAGACCCTTAGCTATCACCTTTCCAGGACCCGAAAAGAGACCTTATGAACTCAGTGATGGGACTGAAATAGTCATTCGCTACTGCAATGGTTTCCTCTGGGGATAAAAAAGAATGGGCTAGGAGTGGAGAACATATACTTTATCTGTAGGGCTTCATTTCATAGGAGAGAGAGAAAAGGGAAAAATAAAACAAATTCAGCTGGATATGCTGGCTCATGTCTGTAATCCCAGCACTTTGGGAGGCCAGGAGTTCGAGACTGACCTGGGCCACATAGTGAGACCCAAGGTTGGTTTAATCCACAGATGCAAAACCCATGGATACAGAAGGCCAACTGTATTTTTTTTCCACCCTGAAGGTTGGTATTGAATATTTTAGAGTAGTTTCAAAACAACATCAAGATGCTTCTTTCTTCTTCATTTCATTTCTTTACCAACTTTCAGCCTTTTTATTTCTACTTCTTACTTCTGGTGTTTGCCTTTTATTGTTGATTAATTTCAACTTCCTCAAGGCATGTGCAACAAATGTGAAATTTACTTTTGGAAGAAAGAACTTATCTCGTACACCAAGTGAGTGTCTAATGGAAAACAAAACAAAACAAAACACCTCCATTAGAGCTTCTTTCTTTTTTTTTTTTTTTTTTTTTTGTTAATCAATGAGAGCTTGTAATGTTGCTCAGGTTGGCCTTGAACTCATGGCTTCGCCTCCTCAAGCTCCAGGACATCTGGCCAGAGCCACCACGGCCCCCCATTAGAGCTTATTTCTTAAAATCAAAGTGAGTTTTTAGTTCTCTGGAAAAGAAAGTGTGGAGGACAAGGAAATATGAGTTGTCATCTTCTTCTCCCAAGCCTCCCTGTCTCATGATCTCATTCTAGGCCCAAGTGGTCATCTCTACACCCTGGGCCTGGGAAAGGTCATCTCCTGGACTCAGGAGTTGCAAGCATTCTGGAGCCAGTAGGGAATTTCCATGCAAGGAACATGATGGTAAAAGCCCGGGAAACAGAAGGGCCACAGCTCCACCCCAGATATTTTGCCGGGGCTCTTGCCAGGCCATGCTGAATGAAGAAAGATGTCCCTTGTTTTACTTTCGAGAAGACATCTGAGTTAGCCCAGCATATGTGGTTGTGTGTTGCCTGAATAATGGCTTAGAACAGTGCTGTCGTCTCCTCTTTTGAGAATCGCTGCCTTACTCAGCTATTTTTATTATGGAAAAAAAAAAAAATAGTTTTTTTTTTCCTTGAGAGGGAGTCTGACTCTGTTGCCCAGACTGGAGTGCAGTGGCATGATCTCGGCTCACTGCAACCTCTGCCTCCCTGGTTCAAACAATTCTCTGCCTCAGCCTCCCAAGTAGCTGGCATTACAGGCATCTGTCACCACACCCAGCTAATTTTTCTGTATTTTTAGTAGAAACGAGGTTTCACCATCTTGGCCAGGCTAGTCTTGAACTCCTGACCTCGTGATCCACCCGCCTCGGCCTCCCAAAGTGCTGGGATTACAGGCATGAGCCACCACACCCAGCCATGGCAGTCTATTATATAGCTCAGGGCATCAGACATAATTGAGAACCATCAGCTCAAAGTTTTTAGGTAAATCAGAATAGCTGGAGTTTCTGTGATAGCTCCCAGGAGCTATGGAACCCAGCCAGCAAAGTGAAGAGCTAGGTACCCTGGTCCTGACCTCCCAGGATCCATTCTGAGGTTTGCCAATCTCGCAGTTCTACCCTTCGGCAAGATAATTCAGAGAGGTTTCCATAAACCTCAGAGCTTACCTACAGCCACATCCTCACCAAGGAAGTGTCTGCTTCATATACCTTCTTGGAGCTGGAACACGTCATCCAGAGAGCATACCTGTCCCAGTAGACCGAGATGTCCAGTCCCCTTAAATAATCCAGACTTTGTTTTATCCTCTTCTCTCCTAGCCAGGGCAAGTGTGGCTCTCACAGTGGGCACACCAGTAGAAGAGGCAGAGGTTTCTGATCCTAGATAATAACCAACAATTATTAAGTGCTTACTGTAAATCTAACACAGCCCTAAGCAATTCAAATACACTAACGCTTTTAACCTTCACAACAACCCTCCAAATAAGTACCATTAGTCCCACTTTACAAATGGGAAAGTAGAGAAAGTGACTTGTCCAGGCAATAGCTGGTGAGGGCCCTGGCCCACTCAGGCCCTGTGTCTCCATAAACTGTCTTTTCTGGGGATCTTAAGAAACGGAGAGGAGTTCTTGCACAACTGATTTATTAAAGAGGAAAAGCATAACCATCCTCAGAGACTTTAAAGGCAGGACAGAAAAATAGTTAAAAACTTAGGCCTAGGCCGGGTGCAGTGGTTCACACCTGTAATCCCAGCACTTTGGGAGGCCGAGGCGGATGGATCACGAGGTCAAGAGATCGAGACCATCCTGGTCAATATGGTGAAACCCCGTCTCTACTAAAAATAACAAAAAATTAGCTGGGCACGGTGGCGCGTGCCTATAATCCCAGCTACTCAGGAGGCTGAGGGAGGAGAATTGCCTGAACCCAGGCGGTGGAGGTTGCGGTGAGCCAAGATCATGCCATTGCACTCCAGCCTGGGTAACAAGAGGGAAACTCCGTCTAAAAAAAAAAAAAAAAAAACTTAGGCCTAAAAAAATTGCTACCAGACAACTTTCAAGGGAGACCCCTTGAGAACACGAAGAAGGCAAATAATATCTGCCTATGAGCTGTTTGGTGTGGCTGGTGACATATCAGAGGAAGTATAAATGCACTGGATGACTTATGGGAATGCTGAAAGAATTTGAGTAACAGCTAGGTAGAATGTGCATCAGAAACCATTACCAGGCCAAGCACAGGTAGCTCACACCTGTGATCCCAGTACTTTGTGAGGCTAAGGTGGGCAGATCACCTGAGGCTGGGAGTTTGAGACTAGCCTGACCAACATGGAGAAACCCCATCTCTACTAAAAATACAAAATTAGGCAGGGGTGGTGGCTCGTGCCTGTTGCAGCTACTCTGGAGGCTGAGGCAGGAGAATCGCTTGAACCTGAGAGGCAGAGGTTGTGGTGAGCCGAGATCGCGCCATTGCACTCCAGGCTGGGCAACAAGAGCAAAACTCTGACTAAAAAAAGAAAAAGAAAAAAAACTATTATCTAGCCTAGCAGTTTTAAACAAACAATGGAGCAAATTGCTAGAAAACCCTGGGCCAGAATGGAGTTTCTTATTCTTCAGTTTTGTTGCTCAGACCTTATGGGTAATGAAGTTGAGAAGGGGAGACTTCATTCCACTCGGGTCTCTGGTTCTGTAAATTCAGAACAACCGGATTGCTTAATCCTGTGCTACATCTTCCCCTTGAAAATTTCCAACGAGGCAAGTGCTCTTCTGAGAAGTTCTCCTGCTCTAGTTTTTGATCCCGTTCTTCTTGACCGTGAGGGCACGTTGGGAACAGCCTGGTGGGTAACAGGGAGGCTGCGCCCAGTCCCCAAGGGTGCAGGCGAGCCCAGGGACACTCAGCACTGCTCAGCAGAGGGACTCCGCTCCTCTGAGCACGCCTGCCGGCAACTGAAAGGTGCCTTGGACTGCTTGGGAGACAAGAAGTAGCTTGCTTGCAGAGAGGGAGATTTGAGCACAGTGCCTAGGAAATTCACCCTATATTAACAAGAAGATTGGGCAGCAGAGTATAAATCTAGGATGGCCCTGGCATTTTCTAGGCAACAGACTGAACATATTCACTGCTTAGAAAATATTTCAATCAGCCACAGCTCTTTCGGGACAGTACCAGTGACTGAGCTCCGGAAAAATAAGGAAGGATATGGATGGGATATGGTGAGTGCTAAGAGATTCCCCTTCCAATTTAATATTGCCTTCCTTGTGTTTGGGTTTCTATTAGAAAAACAGGCCAGCTGACCATGACTGCTGACTCCATCAATCCAGAACTATACTGGTAAACACTTGAAATTCACCCTTTGAGGTAAAGGAAGTTTAAAAAAAAAAAAGCAACAACTGTTTGCCTCTTCTCTTGGTAACATCCAATCTGTGCTGGAAAACTCCATTACTCCCAAGAAATATGCAGGATGGGCATGTGTTTTTCCAAGCTGATTTTATTACTTTAACCCAGGAGCCTCTATGACATAGATCACAGAGTCATGGCAGTGATTGGGCTGTCTGGGTGGGCTTGAGTGTTCTGTGTGTGTGTGTGCCATTTTCCCTAATTATTAGAGCATAACTTCCTCTTTGCTTTACCAGACTAAATCTCGACAATGAAGCATGATGTGTAAACTTCTCGTATATTTGCTCTTTTCAGTTCTAGGAAAAATCCGAACTGCAGTGGGCAGTGCCCAACTTCTCATGGCCCAGAAATTCTACCAGTTCAGAGAACTGTGTGAAGAAAACCTGGTAGGTAACACTCTCCTTCTACAATTTCCCTGCTAGCGCCATGAGAAGAACATGTCACCAGGACTGGCCCAACCAAAGTAAAACTGATTTTGAACCAAGTCAAGGTCCACTGGAGTCTCTCACTTGGAACAGAGAATTTTCGGATGAATCTTATTTCCTGATTGTCTTAAAATATTTATTTTTCACTTAAATAATCTTAGAAGAAAAAAATCAATCAAGTTAAAACTATTTCCTGCTTTTTTTGTAACTGAAATTTTCCATTTTCCTGGCTTTCCTATGGCATCTCTGATTTTATTGTTCTAACCAAAATATGAAGGAGTCTTATATTTCAAAAATAATATCACCCAAAAAAATCATTTTGGATAGTGATTTTCTTTTTAAAATGGCAGTCAATAACTATATCCTAATCTGAGTTCTCTGTTTTAATTCAAGAGCCAGAAGTCAAGGGCATCACAAAGTATAGATTTGATCTCCTTGAGACAAATGAAGAATTTATCCAAAAACAAAGCAAAACAGGCTGGGCGCAGTGGCTCACACCTGTAATCCCAGTACTTTGGGAGGCCAAGGCAGGCGGATCACCTGAGGTCAGGAGTTTGAGACCACCCTGGCCTATACGGTGAAACCCCATCTCTACTAAAAATACAAAAATTAGCTGGGCGTGGTGGTGGGTGCCTGTAATCCCAGCTACTCAGGAGGCTGAGGCAAGAGAATCGCTTGAACCTGGGAGGCGGAGGTTGCAGTGAGCCGAGATCATGCCATTGCACTCTAGCTTGGTAGACAGAGTAAGACTCTGTCTCAAAAAAAAAAAAAAAAAAAAAAACTACAAGTATATCTTTTATTGCTCAATTTTTGGTCAAGCTAGATCTAAAACAATGGAAATGAAAAGCAACTTGTTTACATTGTGGCAAGTAACAACAATTATTTGCAATCTAAATGACTTAAAATATGATCTTAGAGGTTTTTTGTTTTTCTTTTATCCCAAAAATTGACAGTCATGATTTTGGAGTTTTAACCACTTCTTGTTAACAAGGAGAAATGTAGACTGAAAGAAATTTATGTAGACAGGGATCAACCAAGAGAAAATATAAAGAATGGAAAAGCTGGTAGTCTCCATTCCTTTTCTCTTTGTAATCTCTCTTTAGGGCTGTTCCTGAACCCTGCCCAATACACACACATTTAAATTTTCCTCTCTCTCAGAAAAAATAAACTCACCCTTCTTCCAATTTTTCAGAAATTTATTGTAGTATATGAGATCATTCGTATTAGTAAATTTATTCATAAGTGAATTCAGACCGGGCACTATGGCTCACGCCTTAGCGTGATTTTCTTTCTAAAATGGCAGTCAATAACTATATCCTAATCTGAGTTCTCTGTTTTAATTCAAGAGCCAGAAGTCAAGGGCATCACAAAGTATAGATTTGATCTCCTTGAGACAAATGAAGAATTCATCCTTCTTGGACATACAAAAACAAAGCAAAACAGGCTGGGTGCAGTGGCTCACACCTGTAATCCCAGCACTTTGGGAGGCCAAGTTGGGTGGATCACCAGAGGTCAGGAGTTTAAGACCAGCCTGGGCAACATGATGAAACCCCATCTCTACTAAAAATACAAAAAATTAGCCTGGGCCACAAGAGTGAAACTTCGTCTCAAAAAAAAAAAAAAATGAATTCAATCCAACAAATATTCTTTATTTTTTTATTCTTTTTTGAGACAGAGTCTTGCTCTGTCACCAGACCGGAGTGCAGTGGCAAAATCTCTGGTCATTGCAACCTCTGACTCCCTGGTTCAGGTGATTCTCCTGTCTCAGCCTCCCAAGTAGCTGGGATTACAGGCACACACCACCATGCCCAGCTAATGTTTTGTATTTTTAGTAGAGACAAGGTTTCACCATGTTGGCCAGGATGGTCTCGATCTCCTGACCTCATGATCTACCCACCTTGGCCTCCCAAAGTGCTGAGATTACAGGCATGATCCACTGTGCCTGGCCCAATCCAACAAATATTTTATCAAGCTTCAGCTATGGGCCAGGTACAGAACTGCTAATTTGCAAACTTGCTAATGTGTCACAGATCTTAATTAACATGATTCTCTGTGCTCTAAATATAAGAAAGTTTATGGAAAGCCATATTGCTCAAATATGTACATGAGGAATAGGTACATGAGGAAGTCAACGTGTACGTGACACAGGGACAACAATACACCTTGTTAAAAGAAATATATGATGAGCATGTTGTGAAGAAGAATGCAAACACTATACAAATTTTAAAGATGAAATTGTAGATAAAAGTTTTGGCCAGGTACTGTGGCTCACACCTGCAATCCCAGCACTTTGGGAGGCCAAGGCGGGCAGATCACTTGAGGTCAGGAGTTTGAGACCAGCCCCACCATCTTGGCAAAATCCTGTTTCTACTAAAGATACAAAAATTTAGCTGGACATCGTGGGTGGGTGCCTATAATCCCAGCTACTCGGGAGGCTGAGGCAGGAGAATCACTTGAACCTGGGAGGCGAAGGTTACACTGAGCCAAGATAGCACCATTCCACTCCAGCCTGGCCAACAAGAATGAAACTCCCTCTCAAAAAAAAAAAAAAAAAAACAAAAAAAAAAACAGTTTTGAAAATTTTGCAGATTTTTTTTTTGAAACGGAGTTTCACTCTTGTTGCCCAGGCTGGCGTGCAGTGCGTGTGATCCTGGCTCACTGCAGTCACCACCTCCTGGATTCAAGTGATTCTCCTGTCTCAGCCTCCCGAGTAGCTGGGATTACAGGCGCCTGCCACCCCACCAGGCTAATTTTTTGTGTTTTAGAAAAAGAAAGGAAAAGAGAAAAGAAAACTCTGCAGTGTACCTACATTGTCTGATTCCACTGAACTATCGTTTCATACACTGAGGTACTGAATCAATTTAACCAATAGGCCCAGTGACCTCAAGACTTCATTGAATTTCAAAAAATGTCTAGTTTAGTTTTAGTTACCAATAAAATAAGGCCAGATATATTGTGAGATCATCAAACTATAATTGAGAACCACTTTGTCAAAGCTTGTATCTGTCTATTCTGTAAATCGAAATACTAAGAAACACTTTTTTTTTAGTTTACCAAATCAGAATACTACAGAGAAACACTTTCATTAATTCAGACATTGTTAGAATAGATTTTAATACTGAATCAAACACAAACCTTAAAATTTATTTCTTCTAATGAACTTGAGAACTGTTGGGCACTTTGGGAACTATAAGTTTATAAATACATCTATTTATTTATTTATTTTTGAGATGGAGTGTCGCTCTTGTTGCCCAGGCTGTAGTGCAATGGTGCGATCTTGGCTCACCGCAACCTCTGCCTCCCAAGGTCAAGCGATTCTCCTGCCTCAGCCTTCCAAGCAGCTGGGATTACAGGTGTGGGCCACCATGCCCAGCTTATTTTTGTATTTTTAGTAGAGACGGGGTTTCACCATGTTGGCCAGACTGGTCTCAAACTCCTGACCTCAGGTGATCCACCCACCTTAGCCTCTCAAAGTGCTGGGATTACAGGCGTAAGCCACTGCACCCAGCCTTTATTTATTTTTATTTTGAGCTAGGCCACTAATACTCATACTTAAAAGGACCTAAAACGTCTTTATGATTTTGATGGTCATCAACTTTGCACTTTCCAAAATTCTGACATCATTTTTATTAGGGGTTAGTTTTAAAGTATATACTGGCCTCATGGTAGCATAGGACATGAAGTTTCACAGTCTATCCAATTGCCTGAAATTGGTCACCAAACCAGATACCAGCTAGGATCTCTTGACATATGGAGGCTGCCACCCATCTAACTGTCAATGCCTTTAGCTACTGCTGCAGGTAGTGATGAATAAAGGCTATGACATTTTCAGACTCCTAGCTGGGTTTTTTTCTGGTTTAGAGCGTATAAATTCAGGTTCATGCATTCTGTTATCAGGGATACGTGGATGGGGCAAAGAAAGTCAATGCTGAAACACTAAAGAATGTTTATTAATTATTACTTAGCAAATGGGCCATTTCAGACATATAGATATATGTATGTAAAGATAATGTGGTCTCACGTTTGCTGTATTACATTATAGTCAATTTAAAATGAATAAATTTCCAAATGATTTTGTCAAAGCAGTCATATGATAAAATTACTTCCCATGGTAAAATTACTTTCTATATTAGTAAACATCTTAATTATTAAACACATAGTGCTTTGAAAATCCAATATTTTATTACAAATCATTTGTTTACCCTAGCGTTTTACTTAACATAAATATTTAAACTAATCTTATTTTCGATTCCTTATCTGTTCTCTGGATAAACTGTATGGCATGTAGTCGAATACCAACTCTAATAATAACATACTCCATATTTTTTTCAAAGGTGGTATTTTCATTTAAATACGGTGTTTTAAAATGCATCCTGTAGTAGATCATGCATTCTGGGATTTTTCGTGTATTTAGACCCTTCCCCCATCCCATATTGAATTGATAGATGTGGTATCACAGCAGAAGAGTTTTACAACCTTGACATTTGAGAATCACTGGCTCCAACCGATGAGTGTATAAAATTACCATTTGTAACCTCCCTTAACTCCTGTCTGAAAACTAAAAGGAACTCATCCTCCTTATGTTGTTTAAAATATTTGAAAATGCCCTGTGCTTCTCAAGAATTGCCTCTAAAGCATGAATGTTTTTCTTTTTCTTGTGCAGAATCCTAATGCTCATCCAAGACCCACCTCCCAGGATTTGGCAGGGTTTTGGGACATGCTGCAGTTGTCCATAGAAAATATTAGTATGAAATTTGATGAACTTCATCAGTTAAAGGCCAATAATTGGAAACAGATGGATCCTCTTGACAAGAAGGTAGAACAATGTAGATTTTGTATGGTTCATTTAAAAACCTGCACAAACACTGGACAGTCT